TGGCGATACCAGCCATCTTGATTGTCATTTTATTTAAAAATCGCTTTTTATTTAAAATCTGAGATAGATAGGTATAGAAAACCCTAGTATAGTTTGAAAGAGCATTTGAATATGCTTCGATTTATTTAAAAAAATACAGGGTGTTGCATTTGAAATAACAAAGTTTTTATGTAAAAAAATCCTTAAAATAGATCACGAATTTTTGGTATCCCTGTATAAATTTAAGGAAGCAATAACATTTTTCAGTAAAGTTTATTTCTTTGTCTTTAAACTCAGCACAAGAATTAATTCTGAAAAGTAATGTACAGGGTCTGGATAATCAATTCTCTTGTAGCATGCATATTTAAATACCTTTAAATATCTCAAAAACCAATGATTTTAAACATATTTAACCCTTATAATAAAGGTCTTTTTTTGGGCCCAAGAATCCAAAAATGAAATAAAATACCGGGTGTTCCATAAGAAAAAATATAACTTTGGTATGGGTCTTAGTCCTGAAACACCCTGTATATTTCAAAATAATTTTAAATTGTGCACATTCTCTCCCCGCATATACCCATAAAATATTTTGTTTCTACATCTTTCCGTTTTCGTATAATCAACCGAGGCGAATGAGGTGCGCCACCCTGTATGTAGGCTATATGTAAGAATCTGTAGGCTATTCAAAAGCATTAAGGTAAACCTATGCGGCCGTATTTTCGCACTAAGATAGGCTATCTTTTTCCAAATTCAAAATTAAAACTAGTGATAGATTGTTAGCTTTAAAATGTTATTTGTTGCTTATTTTTGGTACCTGTTTTTATATAAAATAAAATGAAATATGCTGATATAATCTAATTACTTACTCCAATAACTTTTTTTAGCCGACCATACCAACAGGTATGCTAGGCTATTAAGATCGACAGAAAAACAGTTTTTTTAACTTCACTCAAGATGAGTTATTTGGGTAATAAATGACCGAAATACAAAATATTTTCATGGTACCTGTCTGTCTGTCTGTCCGCCTGTCTGTAACACGATAACTCAAAAACCGCTAAACCGATTTTAACCAAATTTGGCACAAAAATACTGTGGCACCCGGGAATCTGGCCATTAGTTTTTGGTGGGGGTGGGGGGTTGGTAAGGGGGTATGGGAGGGGGTTAAAAATTTTAAAAAATCGTAACTCCAAAATTACAGTAGCTAGCGAAACGCGGTTTTCAATTTAAGATTAGGAATAATATTTGCAACAAAATTTGTAATACCATCAAAATCAGTCAAAGTCGCAGTTGTTGAGATAAAAAAAATTAAATATTGTTTAAAAAATTATAACTCAGAAACAAAACAGCTAGGAAAACGCGGTTTTGACTGTTATGTACGGAAATATATTTTACACAAAACTTAAGATAATATCAAAGTGTGTCGAAGCCGTAGTTTTTGAGATAAAGCCAAAAAAAACAAAAAAAGGATAATCCGTGTGGAAAACTCCAAACTCCCATCGGACGCGACCCCAGATGGCGGATCAAAACGGACCAAAATTGGAAAAATTCCTTTACTTTGAAACTAAAAGAACTGCCTACCAACTTTTTATTAACATATTTTAGTATGGGCGGCTATACGTGCCTCCCGGCGCCAATTTTTTTTTCAGATAAAAAACAAGATTTGGTATGCATATGACATAAATCAGAACTGATTGACGTATTCAGTTAGTTTCAGTCGCTTTCTGTTTCACCGGAATAGAACCACGGCATATAAATCACACAGCAGGCTAACTCTGCTCAGATTCCATTGTTTTAAATTTCTATAAAATTTGACCTTGACAGCGCCATTATCGTTTCCTACTCAGGGCCGGATTAAAACGTATCAAAAAATTTCTCAGAAAATACGACAGGGTCGTATTAAAAAAATACTGTAATTGACTGAAACTGAATTTTATTTACACAATACTTTTGTCCAAACAAATGATTCGTTAACCGCGTATACTTCTCGAAAAGTAAAAATGAAAAAACCAATTAAATATTTCACTGTAGAGAATAGACAATTAAAATTAAAAAACATGCAACTAACAAAAACATGCCAGGAGTTACAAACAAGAATTAAAGAAATACCAATAAAATATTTATTGAATAATATAAAGAGGCTACGTACAAATTATGCCCATCAACAGGCGTAGCAAATTTTATTAATATTCAAATTTCACAAATTAACAAATCCACAATTTTTTTTGGGAAACTTCTATTTTTTTTTCATGGCAGGAAACAAAGTAGGTACCGCATTGTATTTTATACGGTTACAAAGTGAATTGGTAAACATTTTAAATTCAAAATGAACAGAAGACAACTTTTATGGGCCTTATTTATATCTTCAAAATGTATTGTTAACTTATTTTCGATATACTCATTTTATTTACTTTTATAAT